ACAAACTAATTAATACTAATTTTTTATAATAAAATATTAAATTTTAAATGAAGTAAATTATTATTATTATTTTTTGTTTAGAATTACAAAATTTATAAAAATAAAAAGCAAAAGCAAAAGCAAAAAACCACAACCACATATTAAATGGAGCCTTTGTTTATCAAGCAATTGTTCTCTTGACTGAAAAATAAAATTCGAACAATTTCTTTTAGAATAAAATTTACATGAGTTTATTAAAAATAAATTGAATAATATGATTCACATAAAGCAAAAGATATAAAAAAAAATGTTATATTGTTTCTGGAATTGGAAGGATATTTATTTTTTATGAAACTTCCTTTGCACTAAAAAAAAAAAAAAAAGTTGAAAAGAGAACAATTGAATGAACTATTGTGGATTTTTGAATTTTTAAATGGTTTTAACGGCAAGTCAATAGACATCCGTTAAATGTGTTGACAGAAGTGGATGAAAGGACTACAGACTGACTAATTTATCTAGAAGAGTTAAATTTTATTTATTAAAAAAAATAATTTTGACCTATTTTGTGATTTTATTAACCATTTAACCTTTCTTTTTCAGCCAGGCAAGGGAAGATAAACATCTAGTTGGAGCCAACGCGATCTGATATCACCTCTCTCTGTTTCCGCGCATCATCCTAGTCGTGTATGAATCATCATCAAATAGTCAAATACTTAAGTCTTTCCTTTTGCGGATTTTTATTTTTTTTGACGAGACGTAGTCATCTCTCTATCTATTTAATCTAATTATCCAATTATCCTAAACAATAGGAGTATTGATTTATTTATTTATACTCACATTTTATTCTCAGCAGATACACAAAGCGCAAAGCAATTCTCCTTCACCTAATTCATCAACCTTGTCTCTTCTATTTCGATCTCAATGGGTTCCCTTTTGGTGGATAATTTATCTCTTCCTCATGATGCCTTGTTCCTTGGATTCGACAACTCTACTCAGTAAGTTTTTTTTGGTGTGGTTATTGTCATTTATTATCTTATTAGAATTATTTAAAAATTATTTATTTTGATTAATATTTTATTTGTTGGTAATTTTTTTTCATTACGAAAAAATTTTGAAGTATCTTTGTTCTTCTGATCTTTCTCTTACTATGTTTCAATGGATTTCCTTTGTTTGGCCCATAAAAAGTTGGATACTTTAGGCCCTTTTGCCTGTCATATCCTATAGTATCTCCAACTTGGTTTTTGTAGTTAACTTTTATATTTTGTTTTCTTCCAAGGTCCTTGAAGGCAACTGTATTGGATTCCAATCTCAACATTGTTACTTCGCAGCAAGTTCATTTTCATTCTGAATTGCATCATTATAAGACACAGGATGGAGTTTATAGAGACCCCTCCATTAGTGGCAGAATTGTCTCCCCCACCTTGATGTGGGTTGAGGCTTTAGATCTTGTTCTTCAAAAACTCTCCAACTCCAATCTTGA